ATTCGATTAGCATATTAATTTAGTATATTTGTTTAAGTGCGAAAGGTTTAATTTAAGTAGCGATATCGGATCGCGTTTCCAGCTGGGCTATTGGAATATTATGAAGGAGTTTTTGAATTTCCTTTTTTGATTTTTTCAATATTGAATTTTGATCAAATTATGAAAATGTCACTTTAAGGTAAATTGGGTAGGTATATGCCAAAATTTTGTTTGGAAAATTAATAGAAAACATCTGATTAGGTAGTAACACAAAATATTAATTTACTAAGGCTGAGATGTACCACCTAACTTTGACCGTAACTGTAATGGTAATCGGTGCGTTTTGTATGAAGTTTGACAGATTTTTGACGTTTGTCAAATTTAAAGTAAGATGGTGCAACCCAGCCTTATTCTCTTGCGGGATTGAGGGGTTTGAGTTAATTATCAACTAATCAAGCACCTAAGTATAAACAATAAAAAAAGTTACGTATAATCTCGATGTATTTTAAAACTAATTAATTTAATTGTCAGTAACCGTAACCGTAAAAATGAAGTTTTCAAACTGCAAGTTTTGCTTTCATTGAAAAATTTATTCAATATTGAGCATGAATATAAGCAGCAGGTAGATTTAACTCAAAAACTGCTTAAAAGGAAACAAAATTCGAAATCCAAAATCTTTTGACCAAAGTGAAGGCAAACTAACTGCGAATCGGAAATAACAATAACATTACGCGAATTATCGTACAACTGCGCAGGAGTGTCTTGGATAAAGTAGAACTGTATTACAAGCCAATAGGGTTCATAATTAACCTGTAATGTAGCTGATTGTACCACAGTTATGCAGCTACGTGTTTACCATCCAAAACTGCCAAAAACCTCTCAAAAAGTAAAACAACACCTTTCAAAATTTCAAGTCCTTGTTCGGATACAAAATAACATATTTTTGCAATTTCATCTCAACAAATAAGGTCGCTCGGACTTCCTACTCGGTTTTAAAAGGTTAATAGTTATGAGGGATTGTATAGTGACAACGTGATTTTGTCGATAAAATAGATGCGAGATCAGATAACCAATAATATTGAATATCAATGTTGTTGGTTTTGGTAAAATACTGCAGTTACAAATATAGATAACCGTTATTTCTCAATAATAATAAATATTAAGATTAGAAAAACAAAGATCGGTAAAAACTTCTTCGGTCTTACTTCTAAAAGAGTTTTTTTCCTTACATGCAGTAGGTAGAGGAGAATGAACTAAACTAAGGCTAGTGCGTTTTGAATAATACACTTTTTAATTTAATCAAATTCAAACACAATTTTCTGTGTCGCTACCTAACTGTAATTTATTGAATAACTCAGCTGTGAATAACTTTTTACGCTAATTGATTTCGGAACGAATCTCCATTAGCTGCTAATGAGAGAGGAGCCACGATTTCACGGCTCACCTCGGTGCGTCTTTCCATTCTATACATAGCCAGAACGCAAGGGTGTGAAACTAATCGAGTATAGTTTGGATGTGACTTTTTTTACTAAGCTCCTCCAAACTATACACGACTAGTACGCATACGCTGCGTACTGCTCGCGTATAGTTTGTAGTGACTGAGGTCAATTATCTTACTCCAAAATATACATCGTCAGTACGCATACGGACTAATCATGTATGTATTGTAATATGTTCGCGATTACAATAATAATAATAATAAATTTTTATTTCAGAAATAATATTTTCCATAGTGGGTTAGTAGTTACAGGTGTACTTANTTACAATAAGTAATTGGAAGAAAAAAAATTCTATAAAAAATTAAAAAAAAATCTCAAAATTTTTTTTACCTCTTTTTTGTCGATAAAAATAGGTCTAGTTTCATCTATTTTCATATGTACACTTTAACGTGACTCACACTGTATATTTTAAAACTAATTAATTTAATTGTCAGTAACCGTAACCGTAAAAATGTATTATTTATGTATTTATTTATTTATATGGCATACCAACAACATATATATTATACTCTTATGATTAACATTTATGAACATAACATTTCTGATATATATGTCACTTAAGGGTAAGCACAACAAACAAAAAAAAAAAACTAATAATAACAAGAAAAAAAGCGTGCCCTACATCGCAGAACTTAAGTGCTTATGCAATTTATCTTTAAATTTAGGGTGCTTATCGTAAAATACATCTAAATCCCGAACCTAAAAATGAAGTTTTCAAACTGCAAGTTTTGCTTTTATTGAAAAATTTATTCATCATTGAGTATGAATATTGCAGCAGGTAGTTTTAACTCAAAAACTGCTTAAAAGGAAACAAAATTCGAAATCCAAAATCTTTTGACCAAAGTGAAGGCAAACTAACTGCGAATCGGAAATAACAATAACATTACGCGAATTATCGAAAAACTGCGCAGGAGTGTTTTGGATAAAGTAGAACTGTATTACAAGCTAATAAGGTTCAAAATTTAACTGTAATTCAGTTTATTGTACCACAGTTATGCAGCTACGTGTTTACCATCCAAAACTGCCAAAAACCACTCAAAAAGTAAAACAACACCTTTCAAAATTTCAAGTCCTTGTTCGGATACAAAATAACATATTTTTGCAATTTCATCTCAACAAATAAGGTCGCTCGGACTTCCTACTCGATTTTAAAAGGTTAATAGTTATGAGGGATTGTATAGTGACAACGTGATTTTGTCGATAAAATAGATGCGAGATCAGATAACCAATAATATTGAATATCAATGTTGTTGGTTTTGGTAAAATACTGCAATTACAAATATAGATAACCGTTATTTCTCAATAATAATAAATATTAAGATGAGAAAAACAAACATCGGTGAAAACTTCTTTGGTCTTACTTCTAAAAGAGTTTTTTTCCTTACAGTAGGTAGAGTAGAATGAACTAAGGCTAGTGCGTTTTGAATAATACACTTTAATTTAATCAAATTCAAACACAATTTCTGTGTCGCTACCTAACTGTAATTTAATAAATAACTCAACTGTGAATAACTTTTTACGCTAATTGATTTCGGAACGAATCTCCATTAGCTGCTAATGAGAGAGGAGCCACGATTTCACGGCTCACCTCGGTAACGTTAGCCCAAAGACATGTGTAGTTAAATTTAAATGAGCCAAACAGTTGCCTGCGACAATAGGAAGAGAATGCGAGTAGTGTTGTCGACATTTGATATCGATTCATCTAAAATTATCCTAATAAAGAATGATCGATCACAATTAGTTGGTATTGTGAAACCCATCAATCTAAAATTTTTGAATAAATATGTAGTGTAAAAAAATCGAAGTGGTCGAAAGCAATCACAGTAAAATGGGACTCTCCAACAGTAATTTGAAACTGCGTCTCCATAATCGTTTTCATGTTCGATGTACCGATCGATAATATCGATTCTCAGTCGATTTCGGGCATCACTACAAAAGACTGCGTGCGTCTAATCGTTCGGCAAACACCGCGACGGAACGCTGGCGGTGTGGTCTGCAGCCACAAGTGTGAGAAATATTACGAGGATTAAGAGAAGCTGGATGTGGCAGGAAATTCAAGCTCGCTCTATGCCTGGAATTCCAATGCCACTCGAGTTTCTTTGAACCTCGTGTTTGACAAAGTCAACATGACGTTAGTCATGATAAACATCGTATTTGCTATTTTTATCTATAACACAAGTTTCTGTAAAAAAGCTTTAGGATTTTATCAAATAACTAGTTTTTCCAAAGTATTTGCAAGCAAAAGATTCTGTTTATTTCATAAATTCTGAAAGTTGAACTTCAATAAATGAATGCTCTCTGAAATCCTAAACACACCTGTCACATTAGTATAATAATGTGACTTTATACATGTACTGTCAGCCTGGATCCAGATCCAGACTCCAGAGTCCAGACTCTTCTGCGAATTGTGTGATTTTTTCCGAGATCTTGACTTTTTATGAAGTACCTACGTCAACAAAACCGCTTCTAGTTGCGAAATGCGCGCGTTTGCGTCTTCAAAAGTACCTGGGATCCGCACTCAGGACCTTAACCTTTATTTATGTACACTTGGACAGAAATCACCCTTTGCGTCGTCCGCGCCCGCTCCGCGCAAGCGCACAAGAAAGCATTCAAAATGATTTATTGTAAATGGTTTTCTACTTTGTTGGCTAAAATAATAACGCAGCGCCCGGATTGCTGTTCTAAATTCGATATTTTATTGTTACTTTTTTCTTTGCCACACCGATACGTGCTTCTTCGAAAAATTTAATTTGCAGACCCTCTGCTAGCCCATTAGAGTCATGAATGAGTCAGCAATATGGTGATTAGCGGCCGAAACGAAAATTGCAGAAGTCATTAATTAACGCTAAAGAGTTACCTTAGGAATAGTCGTTAAAGTAGCAGCTAAAGACGGCCGAGTTGAATGAGATATCGACAATGCAAATAATAAAAACGTTAAAGGCACAGTAGAGCTTGCGGGTGGCTTTGTGTGCACGCACAATGGCCGACACGTCGAGGCGATTGACGCTTTAACTCCGGAGGTGTCACAAGAATTAGTGGCCCATTATTGCTCCGTAGAAAACGCTGGTCAAGCAGAAAGGAGATAACAATAATTAGCTTGGACGCAACAAAAAGTGACATAAATCCCGCATAATAAGTCCTGCCGAACGCAAAAAACACCGTTTACCTGGATTCCCGATTTTTTGCAGAATCACTGAACGAACGTGGACGATATAATAAACACCTCAATTCCTGGCACGGGCATTGTTTAATGATTTTCTGTTGTGATCTTGCACAATCGTCGGACGGCGTGATTTTTTCGATTTCAACTTGCGAGAAAAATAAAAGTTTTTGTATGTCTTGGTAGCGTTTAAACAAAAGGGGCTCGAGGTTTGTGAAGGTGTGATTTATTTATGACTTTACCTTAAAACCTTTGCTCGCCGACTTTGGGTGGCTTCTAAGATTTCTCGGCGGCTGTTCGCCCCGTGTTTGTGTTCCGATTAAAGCCAATAGCCGATTAACGTTTTGTTTCTTTTGTTGCAGGAACAATATGGAAATGACGCATCTGACCGCTTCACTTCGAGAAGACTGTTAATTCATAACTTTAGACATAAGCCCGCGTTTTAAACAGCCGTTATAAAACAAAGATGCTGGGGTGTGCTCTGAGGAGAGTTGCTTCAGTGTTCCCTTTCGCGCCAAAGGACATTAGCTTCAGCTCGGCTGACGACAGCCGATGCCTAGATAAGTAGATGTTTTAAAGGTAGCACTGTCCAAAAAATTTCGGCCAACAGATCTAAAATTGAAGTTCACAACCTGAAACAAAACTAGTCAAGTTTATAGCAATAGTAAGTTACCAATAGCAGAAGTAGGGAAGAGAACAGAGATATAGTGCGCGCGGTTCTGGAAACGCCACTTCGGTGGTATGCTTTATATTGCCTCTTGGATCGACTGTGCGCTGACTGGTCGCTACGTCACGTGGCTTCCCGGCGCGCGACTGCGGTGCTGGATGCTACTAACTGTATACACGTGAGTACTTTTTTATTTTTCCATGTTTTTCTTATTGTGTTTACATATAATAAGTGTATTATTTGGTGACAATTGAAAACCAGACGAGTAGTCGTTCTTCAGTGGGACAGGGAATGTTTTGAAACAAGCCATATTACATTACATTTATTATCAAGTAATAAAACTTTGGTGTTAATAAATGATTGTTAATACAAAACATTTATGTCACACATATTATTCAGGATTTTACGATGGTATTATTTGCGTAACATCATACTCCTAGTCGACAACTTTAATGACTCTTCCAGTTAATATATTAAGCGTTGGAGATGTAATGTATTTAATGTATTACCAATGTACCAGAGTCATAAAAGATGATACGCAGCCTTTTAGATATTACTCGTATTGGAATTCGGAATGTTAGAATATTCAGTGATTTATACGTGTTTAGAAACGGTTGTTTATGTTATTGAGACGTAAACCTTTTGATAGAGCTCACTATACCTCTTAACTATGATCTAACAAAAAGTCTTGTTATGTCTTCTTCACAATCACAAACGTGTAGATCCTTATGTCTTCACTCGAAAGGCCCTCCGACCTCTGCTTCATGGTCATCAATGTAAAGGGCATAAAACGTGTCTATACGTTCCGTTAAATTCTTCGGGCTGCGCAGGAGTGGCCAGTTACCATTCGATTTACGACTCTCCGTGCTTTTCATTACCCGTTTCTGCCTTTGTAACTCTAAGTGCTTTCGGCAAACGCCACTTTCCTATAATCATCAGCTACGGAAAAGTACTTAAGGGTTATAACTGTGAAAATATTGTTCTTAAATGTCACTGAACTTGTCCTGACGTTTACGCTTCATTTACGGTACTCTATTCTCACGTCTTGGTCAATACTGCAACTTCTGTTATAATAAAAATGCACGATTGTTCAGGGAATTCTGTTTTAACAGACATACAGGTTAAATGAGAACCACCTTATTTGAAGTCGGTTAAAAAAGAAGAAGATCAAGCACACAGACCGCTAGTAGATAATCTTTATATAGGCCCTGCCTACAAATTCTTGCCAGATTAGCAGTAAGTGCTTCTAGATAAATGAAGATAATAGTTCGTTGACTTCGTCGAGTCTTCCTTTTGACCTAATAAGTCGGTCTAGACTTATCAATATTGTTTCACTGTAACCGCGCTGAGCTAACTCAGACATTGGATATTTGGCAACAACACTAAATATTTGTGGACAAGGTTTGTCAAAAACCTCGCGGCAAAGTGTTAAGTCGGCTGGAATGTCACATTATTTAATACAGACCGGCACATCAGCATTGTGATATCTTATGTGGCTGTAATTGAAGGCATTTTGCAACAATATTGTATAGCCTAATATGCTGCTGACTGTATAAAAGACTCCTATAGAGGTAACTTGTGTTACATTAGATGACTATACAATTTGAGCTTTTTTATGATGAGCATTATAAAGGAGTCATTTGTTTAAACGCCTTCTGATTTTATTAACAGCATCAAAACATTAATTCCTAAAATTTTATTTCTGAATCATTTATGTTTCTGTCTGTGAATTCGAATATAAATAACTTAATATTTCATGTAAACAAATACAGACTTACTCACATCTGCGGCTCCACTTTTATTGCCAGATCAAATAAATCGGGCGTTATCGTAAAATAATAAAGTGCCAATGTTTGTAACACTAATATCATCATTAACACTTGCCTTAAATGCATTAGCAGCAAAAAATGTATGGCAATAAACGACGTCACTTTCGGTGAAGAGTGTAAAATCCTTGCCAAGATCATTCTTAGGTTACGAATTTTCTAAAAGGTTTTTAGTTTATTATCTCTTTTAAATCTTTAGGAACACGACTTGTCAATTTAAAGAATTAGTTTTCCATCAAATCCTATCACAAAACTTTATTTATTTCAGATTTTACAATTTATGCTTTAGTATCTAAAATAGTGATCATAAACAATATCTTGTCAAAAATAATAGCCTTGACCGATTCGATCCGCCCACAAAAATTATTCAACTTAACCAAATTGAGAGACAATGGTTAATTAATAATAATAGCCGTCATTGCTAAAGGTTCGGACAAACCAACGCGTGCAGCGATGGCGATGGCGATGGCGACCACTGCGCGTGCAGAAGTTGTTTCACACTGTCGCGACCGCNATAAAGGTTACTAAAAACTTTGTTTGTCACCTGTCATCCGCTTTGCAATGGAGGAAAGTCGAATCTTAACTTCGAACTCCTCCTATGTTCTTCTGATTAAATTCATTGCGGGCCCAATGACAGTTTAACTTTCCCCCAGGACAAACTGGACCTTCACTGGTTGGGTTTTTATTGGCGGTCAAGCTGTAGATCATGGCTACACAGGAGTTGCAGAGGTGGAAACGAGAGGTGGGAATTGTCCCGTATGCACCTATAGGCTTTAGCAGTACTGCAAACAAAATAATGTTTCGAATTCTTGTTTATTGAAAAGTTAAATCAATTCAGATAAAAAAAGCTTGTAATAAAATTGAGATAGATTTTATTCTCAAAATTTCTAAATTATATGGAGCTCAGTACAGGCGCGGATCCAGCCCTCAAAAAAGGTTGTGGGCACAGCCACCAAAAATTAGCAAAGTGAGAGCCAAGTGGTCGGTGGCGGCGGCGTTTTAGTGGAACGGCTGTGTTCCAAATCACGCGCGATTTTTTAAAGGCTCATCAGTCAGCCGTTTTTATCATCAGCCTATGGATCTTATCAATAGATCATAATTAAAACAAGCAAATTAGTGTTGTGGGCATGCCCACAGTGCCCACAACGGTGGATCCGCGCCTGGCTCAGTAGCAATAGTTCCATGCAAGTCAAAATTTAGTGAAAAATAGGTAGGCTGTGTGTGAAATAGAATCGTGAATCCTTGCAACGAATCATGTCAAAATAACATGGAGTAACTAACTTTTTCACACTATTTGACTACGTAATGTAAAATGTATCTAATATGTTATTTATAACAACTGTGTTAAAAGTAATATCGTGCAAATTGCAAGGCAAATAGTCAAGTCTATGTTTAGCAAGTAAAAATGGCAATGCAACAGTATTAGTACATTTTTCGAAATACAGTTGATACTGCGCTTTGCACATTGAACTTCTTACTATTTCTAGCAAATATTGATGTTGTAGGTAACACCACATCAAGGTAAATACTAATTATGTAAGTAATATGAGTACTACCACAGAGTACTGGCGCAGAATAAATACTCGTGATTAGTACTAATGTACGACTAATAGATTTTTTAAAAGGAGTTCTTGGGTTCTCTTTTAAACATCTCAATAAATCTTAAATAAAAAAAAATACATAATAAATTGCCTTCGAACCTTATTATACATAGGTACAAGAAGTTGAGTCTTGCAACTACTTCCATAAGGTACACCGAATAGTCCAGTCAATTTAGACATGAACCCTGCATTAATTCGCATACAGCTGAAAATTGGTACGCATGTTCGGAGCACCATTATAAATTAACTGTGAAAAGTCCCCATCGATCCGACATGTGCTAAAAAAAAAATTCAAGGTCAAACTTAAAAAATACGGGTTTTTGAGATTTTCAGCTAAACGGTAAGTTTTNTAAAAAAGGTTTTAGAAAAAAGTATCAATATCAGAATGTATTTTTATGTAATAAACAAATTATTCTAGTTTTCTCGAGAACCTGCTTCTTCAACTTCATAAATAAAATTGGGATATAATCTGCAGAACAAAATAATTGAGAATGTACATGTCTGCAGCTTTCTCAAAGGCCCTAGAGCAATTCTAAGTATGCCATAAATAAAAACCTAATTAAAGTCATCAAACGTCTCAGTCATTAGTTTAGTGCCACTAGAAACACCTAGTTGATCAAAACTGATGTCTTTTTGTATTTTGGGTTGTTATTAAAGACAAAAAAGATATTTGGACTATTATGTAGGTACTCTGTGGTTTGGGTGCATAATGTAATTTCCTTTGCCTTAAAAAAGTAAATGTCAAGATGACTGTTGCACCAAAAATGAAAATGAAAATTGATTTTGATAGATGTTGTGTTGAGTTCTGTGTAGTTTTGTGCGATTTAACGATAAGAACGACAGTGGTAAAAGGTAATGGGGGCAAATTTTTTCCCTCAAGGAAAAAGATGAATTGGTTATAATCTTACTTGCCCACAAGGATACTGTACGAGCATATCAGCATCGACCGCGACTAGCCGACTGGCCCATGAACCCTGAACGAACGTGCACCGTAGGCACTCTACACCGACGGCACATTGGACTGGACACATTGAATTGTGTACATTATGTAAATCTTGTATATAACAATAGCATAACAGTAATAAACCAGATATCAACGGTCCGCGTTGTGTTTTATTTCCCCCACTGAGGCCAAGAAAGCCTTAGTGCAGTCCTCCTTCCTATCTATCAAACCTTTCTTTAAATCTAATAAAAAGGTATTGTTAGGGCTCTAGGGACTACAAACGAAGCCAGAAATATAGCTTGGTTATGAGTAGCCAATACCTACTACCTATACCGCATGTAATCTTGTCTCATTCTATAATAGGTAATATGGCCGCCTGAATAAACTTGAGTGAAAAAGTGTTTCCACTGTCTCAATTGCATCAAAAGCTCCAAACAAATCATTTTATTCAGTTTCCATTTTGCCGAATAAGCGAGATTGACAATATGCGTGACAGTTGTGGAGACAGTGACAACCTGCACGCGCAGTGATCGCCATCGCGGTCGCGGCAGTGTGAAACAACTTTTGCACGCGCAGTGGTCGCCATCGCCATCGCCATCGCTGCACGCGTTGGTTTGTCCGAACCTTAAATCATAGTGTAGTGAAAAATAAAGAGACTGTGTGTGAAATAGAATCGTGAAACAGAATCCTTGCAATAATCATGTCAAAATAACATGGAGTTACTTCGTTTTCACACTATTTGACTACGTAATGTAAAATGTATCTAATATGTTATTTATAACAACAGTGTAAAAAGTAATATCGTGCA